GAGTGTAACCACTGTATGATTTTTGAGATCTGTCATATTGTCAGGGGGTATTTGCCAAGCCAACTTGGAACCACGCATAAGGGAGGTGATTCTAGAATCCTATTGCTTTTTGAGAAGGGTGCATTAATTCTCTATCAATAATTTTTCAGTAATTACATAATTTGAGGCTGTATTGTTGAGTGCATGTTTTCATGATAAATATATCTTCTTGCTCTACTGTTCTTTTTCTATATGGCATATTTCTTATTCTGCAAACCATTTTTTTTGCCTTGAATTCTATTTTGACCATATATTAAGAAGTTGTCACAACTTGTTTTTTATATTTGTCTTATATATCTTTCATTACCTTTTGATTTTAATCCATTTGAATCTTTTTGTTCTAAAAGTTTCCTTTGTGGAATAAACATTGCTGGATCCTTTAAAAGTGCAACCTAATAGCCTTGGTGTTTAAATTGTTGAGTTTAACTAATTTGAAATTATTTTAAAGCCATCTAAGTGTTTATTATTGCCGTCATTTTTCACATGGTGCATCCACTATACATTCCCTGGGGTGTTTTGTTTTTCTACTTTGCATTGAATAGAATAGATTTTCTTTGGCTAATTTAAAAGTTATTTATTATTTAAAATTTTTATGATGGTTGCCTTAACTTAAAAAAGGCCCATACTTGTGTTTGTTTATTCCTATTAACCATGAATTATATATGCCATCCACCTATACCAATTACCCAGCTTAGAAAATAAAACCTTAGGAAAGAAAAACCTTGATAGAAGCTGTCTGTGTACTCCTCTTCATGACATTTCCTTTCCATCCCCACACAGTTAATCACTCTTTTGGATATGATATTTATAATCCATATACATGACTTTGTATTTTTACTGTATGTGTATATATCCTTAACTTATGTATAATATTGTTACATATGCTTTAATCTCAAAATAAATGGCATTACTTGATATGCATCCTTTGCAACTTACCTTATTTTACACTTATCATTGTTTGAAATTTATCCAAAGTTGATACATATATTTATATTCAGTGCTGTGTAATGTATTGTGCATGTCCATTATACAAATAAACCACAATTAGTTCAATTAGTTTATCTAAGGTATATGTTATTCAGTTTCAGCAACAGGAGGCTGGAACAGAGATGAGACAAACATCCTTTAAGATGATTTTGAGAAGACAGAGTGAAAATGGTTAGCAAAATAAATTAGTAAAAAGAGGTTAACAAACCTGCATGTTGTGCACATGTACCCTAGAACTTAAAGTATTATAATAATAATAATAATAATAATAATAATAATAATAATAGAAATAAGTAAATTTGTCAAGTTGGACGATCATCAAATTTACCTAGAACTCAACACGAGGAAAAGCAAACTGTGGCAACAAAAATGATTTTATCCACTAATGCCCCTGAATTAATCTTCTCAGGCTGCCATAAGAGAATGCCACAGACTGACTCGCTTAACAAAAGAAGTTTATTTTCTCATAGTTTTGGAGGCTGGAAGCTCAAAATCAAGGTGCCATTAAGATTGGTGTCTAGGGTGGCCTCTCTTTCTGGCTTGTAGATGGCTGCCTTCTCACTGTGTCTTCACCTGGCCTTCTGCTCTGTGTGCACATGCATGAAGAGAGAGAGAAGGCTCTCTTGTGTCTCTTTCTCCTCTTATAAGGACACCAGTCTTATCAGATTAGGGCCCTACCCTTATGAGCTTTATAATCTTAATTACATCCTTAGAGGCCCTATCTCCAAATGTCATTAGGTCTTGAGTTAGGTCTTCAACGTATAAATTTGGGAGGACATTGGGAGTTAAGTCTTCAACATATAAATTTTGGGAGGACACAACTTAATCCATAACATCCCCAAATACTATGAATCACTTGATTATTGCCACAATACTGCATAAAAGCAAACTTAATTTCAGTGGCTTATAATAACAAATACTTGTTTTTCTTGCTTATGGGTTTGTGGGTTGATTTGGATGAGGTTGATCTCAGCTAGTGGGGTATGGAACCAGACTGTAGGCCAGGTTTAGGTCCACGTGTCTTGTCTTGGAGTCCAGGCTAATAAGGCAAAGAATACTGCTATGATTTGAATATGTCCTTCAAATTTCATATGTTGGAAACTTAATCACCAAATTAATTTGTGGATTGGCAGTGGGGCCTTTGAGGGGAAATTATGATTAGATAAGGTCGTCAGGGTGGAATACACATGATGGGACTGGTGGCTTTATGAGAAGATGAAGAGAGACCTGAGCTGGCACACACTCTTGCCCTCTTACCATGTGATGCCCTCCACCATATTATTACATAGCAAAATGGCCCTCACCAGATGCTTGCAGGCACCATTCTCTTGACTTCCTAGCCTGTAGAACTATGAAAAATAATTTTTTTCTTTATAAATTACCGCCTGTTGTATTTTATAAAGCAATGCGAAATGGACTAAGATAGATATCTAGGGCATGTTCTTTTCATGGTGATGGCAGAAGCACAAAAGCCCAAAAGCCAACCACATAAACATATTTCAAGCCTCTGCTTGCACCATGTCTACTATAGCCCATTTGCCAAAACAAACCACATGGACAAGCCCAGAGTCATGAGGCAGAGAAGTCAACTTCTCTCCCTGTGGCAACTTCTACCCATGGCGAACCAACTATGAGATCATGGCAATAACAAGGGTTTATAATACTACGAAAGTATAGTGAAGAACTGGGAGCAATAATTCAGTCAGTCACAGCATATATACTGAGGCTCTGATTGTTTGGGATGAGCCTTAAGTGGTATTAAAAGACGTTCTTTCTCTGTAGTGTCCTATGGGGTTGTGAGCAGTAAAGACTGATGATGCATCCACACCAAAAGTCATCGTTTCTTCATTTTGTGCTTTGATTGTCTTATGCACTTCTTACATATTTTCTTAGGTTCCTGATCCAGTGACCTCTGTGTTTTATTTGAGGATTAAAATTAACCACCCCCTTTTACTCTATGAACTCTGGGTCATTTGAGAAATAGCCACAAGGTCTTTGTGTGAATTCAATATAGTATTAACTTCATTCTTGGTGAAGGTGTTCTGGACCAAAGACTGAAATAGTATTCTTGCTATTTCTCCTCTTGATTGTGAAGTTACCTATCCACTTGTAGGTATCAAACCTAGAAAGCACCCTCCTGCTTTGTTCACTGCATGGGAAGAAGAAAAGCTGGTCAGAATTAATCACATGGAGGAGGAATATGGGGTTAAAAGTGTGTCCAAACAAAAGAAATAGTCTGTATAAAAGTCTTGAGGCAGGAAACAGAGTTACTGACTAACTGATGGCCACTGCAGTCTTCAGGCTGTTGAACAATTTACTATCCAGACGTGATTGTTAAAGCTTAAGGCCCTTGGAGAGTTTGGTATGAAGAAAAATAGGTCCAAAAAAGAGCTGACCACAAAAGTAAAAGAGAAGAAGACTTTAGTTCATTCATTCACTCTTTCATTCAATAAGTATTTGTAGAGTGCTACCTTGTGCCAGGCACACTGTTCAGCATTTGGGGATATGGTAATTAACAAAATAACCATATCCCTGACCATGTGAATCTTATACTTATGTCTGGAAGGGATATAAATAACAAACAAAATAAATAAACAAAACATATAATATGGTAGAAGGTAATAAACAGTAAGGAGAAAAAAATTAAACAAAGAAGAGGGCTAGGGTATGTTGTTAGTGGGAGTGGGGTGCAATTTCAGAAAGAATGGTCAGGATAGGTGACATCTGAGACATAATTGGAGGAGATGAGGGCCGTGGATGAAGAGTGTTCTTTACAGGGTACGAGTGCTGGTTGAGTGCTGGGAGATAGAAGTTGAGGAATAGTAAGAGGACCAGTGTGTGGGAGAGTAGGAGATGAGGTCAGGCAGGTAATGGGAGTGGTGGTGAGAGGAGAGAAAGGGAAGATCAATTTGGCCTGCAATGCTTCAGGTGTTTGCTCATGAGATGGGGAGTCACTGGGATGCTTTGAGCATAGGAGAGACACGGTGTGGTCTACCTTTTACAGTCACAGTGGGTTACTGTGTTGAGTACAGACTGGAGGAGAGAAGGGGGCATAATTCTATATGGTCCTGAGAGAATAGAGTCAGTGGGTAGAAGAGGCTGACTTTTCTAACCACTAGCTAACTAGCTAACTAACTAACTAATAACTAACCTTAGTTAGCTGACTACCACCAGTGAAACTGGCTGCCAACTCACCTTGGGAGTTACACTCAGCAATTTGTCACTCGTGGTCCCAAAGGATGCTATGGTTGTTGATACTGGGTAATTCCTACCTTGAATAAGGAAGGCATCAGACTCTATGACATTCTGGATTCCTTCCAATACTGAGAGTCCTTGACTCTATAGCATGTACCACCTCAATCTCCCCCGCTAGAATGTAAGCCCATAAGCACAGGGAGTTTTGTCTGTTCTGTTCAGTTCATTGCTCTACTCCCAGTGCCTAGAATAGTGCCTAGCATATAGCAGGCACTCAATAAGTATTTGTGAAGTGTATGAATGTCTCTGTTAAACCTATGGCTGGACCTTGAGCAAGACGTTTCTCTGAACCTCACAGAATAAAAAAGTTGGGTTGAATGGCATTGATGACCTTTCTAGGCTGGCCAGTCTGTGATCCCCATTTTAGGCTCTGAGTCATTGTTTCTAAGGCAAGCTAAGGGGTGCATGAAGAGGTTCTTATATGGAGGAAAGACAGGGATGGATAAAGGCAAACCTGCATGAAGGAGGAGCACATGGGTAACTTCTGAGGCTGGAGACCAGGGCACCCTCTGAAAATAAATATGAATTGTTTTCTTTGACATGCACAGGGCTCTAATTCCAATAGGGGATGCTTCACTAGAAACTGAGGGTACAAGACACTAGGGATCCATCCCGGGCATGTTGTCTTTGTGCTAAGTGAGTCAGCTTGGTCAACAGAGTGCTCATAGGCCCCGAAACTCTCCTGGGAAAAATAGCATAAATAGCAGCAGAGATTCCATTGAAGGGTATAGAAAATACATTTTTAATTTTGATAGAGTTCACAAATTACAGCATTGACATTTCTTTAAACAAATACTTCTGTCAAAGCACAGCATTACCATGTGTCCCCAGATGCCCAAGAGGCAGTGATTTCATGTCCCCCTGAGGTTTAGCAGAGCCACCAATGTCAACAGGATGGCTGACGGGGCCTAGATTTGCTACCAGATAAGCCAGTGAGACATGCTGTCAGATTTATAGTTATATAATCAAGTATTTAAAAAGATGCACAATAGGTAACTGCAATGAGCTTGTTCTGCGTTTAGCAATAGTTCCTTTCAAACAAAGAAGATAGTTTTCAGTATCAAGAAGGATGCCTGTATGTATGTCTTCCACGGAGCCTTTCCTACAGATTGCTTTCATTACACAATAAAAGGAGTTCAGCTTCACTGTGACCTAGGAGGAAGAAAATAACAGCCAGAATTTAGTTACTGGTAAATTGTCAGACTCAACATCTATTATCTCACTTACTCTTTATAGTAATGCTTGGAGGTAGATACTATTGTAGTCCTCAATTTACAGATGGAGAAACTGAGGCTTGGAGAGAATTAAGTAACCAGTTCATGGTCATATAGCTGGTAAAGGGCAGATACAGTTCTTGAACCCAAGTCTGTGCACTTAATTTGGAGGTACATGATATAGTAATGTATACTCTAAAATGATAGTGCCATTATCTTTCAAACTCAAATGCTAGAATTGTCAAAATTATAAGTGTCAAAGAGCAGTGTTTTAAATAAACAGGATCTATATTTCTTGGTCTGATGATCTCAGGGTTACAAGGAGAGACTGAAAAAACAGAGATTAATCAAAATTCTAGGGTTTTAGCTATTGGAACTCAGACACTGGTGTGGGTACCTTCCCTTATGGATTTTTTTAAACCACATGGTCTCAGGGAGGCTCAGAGGGTGAAATACACCCCTGTAAAAGCCAGTCATTCATCTTCCCATCCCATCATACAAGGGCAGTCACCTTCTTGAGTCATTCAGCTGCCCAGTCTTGAAGGTCCCTGCGGCGCCTGCCGAAGGCTTTGGAACCCACATTGGTGGGCACAAAGTTGTTCTTCACCACACCCCCTGATCTGCTCAGCAAGCCTGCCAGCCGATGAGTCACACAGGTGGCAGTGTCACAGGCTCTCTTCTGGGCAGTGATTCTGATTTGCAGGATGGAGAAAGAAGAGAAGATCTGTGAGTGAGAGGCTGGGAGAGAGGTCAGCCTCATGGGACCTTCACGGTAAAGTTCCTGTGCTGAAAGGCACCAATTAACTTTAAGTGTTTCTCCCAAACACAATTATCAGAGCAGAAAATCACAAGGCCATTAGGGAAAATGCCATGATCACGCCCCATAGATATTCCCAGGGGTGTCAGAAAACCCAAAGGTGACTCTGGATGACTGGCTATGGAATATGGAGCAGTAACAACCAATCTTTCCTGTATAAACTAACTAAAAATTAAAGCGGAGGTTTATGACACTGGAGTGAATTATGGCCCTACACCCAGCCCCATTCACAAAGGACTATAAAATCTATACCCCACTCACGGGCACCAAATACCCCTTCTTAGGAAAATAAAAAATTCCTCAGTCTTACCTGGAAGATGAGTGGAGTTTGCAGCATTAAATCCTAGAGGTACTTACCTGCTCCTTAGGACTCCTGTTCTTGCTGCTTGAGCTTGGTCAGAGGGACCAACCACCGTATCCTCTGTCCAACTAGCCTAGGGTTAAGGCTATTTCTAAGCATAGGTCTTAGACACTATGAAGCCTGGGACATAGATCAGAGCAATGACCAGCACAGCTCAGATCTTTGGGGAAAAATAGTTTTATTCCTCAAATGATCAGTACATTCAGAAGCAGGACAGAGGAGCTCTCATGACATCTCTGGGGGACTCAAAGCAGCCCTTACTTTGTGGTATTTTCCCGGGTGATTCTCTTCCAGCCTGTGAGTCCTGCTCTTTTTCCTCCCATCTGAAGCTTGAGACATCCTCTGCCACAAGGAAAGTCACCAATACCAGCCCAAAGAGCCACAACAGAGGAACTAAACCACATGCATCAAGTTATAGGAAGGACGCAAGAAGGGAAATTAGGAAGGAGAGGGAGGAGTTTAGTTGGCATCCTGGGGCATGCTAACATAACGGCGATGGTTTCTCTCCAAGTCGCTGGACATATCCCTTTTCTTTCCAGGTGCTCCAACCCCAATTGCAGTTTGGGGGAACGTGTGAAACTTGTTGAAGTCCTGCGTGTATGTGCCCAGCATGCAAGTACTCAGATTACCGCACCGCTTAGATCTGGGGCTGTCCAGGCTGCAGGGAAAAGACATGCCAGACAGTACCATGCACCAGAATCTGTCCCCATGGGCAGTCACTTAGAAGGTTAGACCAGGCAGGGGACCCTCTGAGTGGGAGCAGGAGGGGCAGGCAGGAGAGCAGCTCACTTATCCTTCCTTAGGACAGCTCAGATGTGCAGTGGGCCAGGGCAGTGCAGGGAAGGGCTGGATGGGGAAGGATGATCTTTTCTGGCATTCCACATGCTGTTCAGTCCTTCATGCTTGACAGAGGGGTTCTCAGGGCAGATGCAGGAGCAATACATGCCTCTGCCTGAGCAGTGCTGGGGCCAGGCCAGGGGATGGTCTCTGCTCAGGCTCAAGGTACACAGGGATGTGTGTACACAGGATCTGGGGAAGGGTGCTCTCCCTGGCTTCCTGATAACATGCACATCTCCACAGATGCCACACATTTAAAGGCTTGACCTACCTCAGACACTGCTCTATCTGTCCCCATCCCCTGCAAGGGCCTTACCTTCACCTTGCAAATGTGAAATGAAGGCTCCTTATAGGTGTGAAAGAATGTTATATGCAGATTAACAAGATGGATCCAAATTTCTAGAATTTCCTGAGATATATTATGTCTATCCCTGACTTCACCCTTACTAGTGTTAACTCAACCAGTGCTGGGAGGTCTCCCAGTACTGCAAGAACAATTACCACAGTGAGCGATTCCACACCTCTCCATTTCATTTCCTAAGAACTTTCAGAAAGGAGCCTTTTATTGTGTCTAACCGCAGTTCAGTTCCTCCAGCCGCACTGGCACCTCTGTCTCCCTTGGAGCCTGAGAACAGCCGGGCCCCAGGTCCCGGTGAACAACACAGCCTGTTGGATTCCTGGCCAGTGTGTTCTCTCCTACCTCCTGGGATCCACCTTCCTGGGTATGCTGCGGGGAGAGGAGGCCCTGTGCTGGACGCTTGGGGAGCCTCACCTGGAGCCCTCGGTCTCCGGCTCCTGCCCCAGCTCACTGGCCTTCATCTGCACATAGTCCTGCACCAGTGCAGCCAGCAGGAGGCGCGCTTCCTCCTCACTGAGTGTGGCTGGGTCTGGGCTGCTCTCTAGGGCAGACCTGTGAAGGGGAAGCTGACTCAGTGCAGGCTGTCAGCCCCTGCCTGCCCCTCCCCAGGATAAGCAGCCAGGCTTCCTGGTCTTTGCTTCTTCCCCTGAGAATGTGGCCAGTGGGAGTATTAGGGGACAGGGCACAAGGCCAGTGTCGTTCCCAGGACCCAGGCACTGGTGTGGCCTCCAAGCAGTGGTGTGCTAGAACCAGTTTGTATAGGCTTGTGAAAGCTGATGGTTAAATTTTCAAGAATTTTGCAAGCTGAGTGCAGCCATTATTAAAAATTAAATGCTAAAACTTACGGTTAGTGTTGAACCTGAAAATAGTTTCAGTTTAATAGATTTATATGTGGGTGAGAAATAGATCAACAGGTAAAATACCAGACTGAACAATAACAAATTTAGTGGCAAACTATTTAACACAATAGGATGCAATTCATTTATCAAATCATGGCGGAATAGGATAAATAGGATGACAAAACATACGAAAGTTTGACTAAAAGCAACAAAAGCATTTTGTGAGACTCAATGGACCATATAAAATGTATAATAGGCTGGGTGCGGTGGCTCATGGCTATAATCCCAGCACTTTGGGAGGCCAAGGCAGGCAGATCACCTGAGGTCAGGAGTTTGAGACCAGCCTGGCCAATATGGTGAAACCCTACCTCTACTAAAAATGTAAAAATTAGGCGGGCAGGGTGGTGGGCGTCTGTAATCCCAACTACTCGGGAGGCTGAGGCAGGAGAATTGCTTGAACACAGGAGATGGAAGTTGCAGTGAGCCGACACGGTGCCATTGCACTCCAGCATGGGTGACAGAGTGAGAATCCATCTCAAAAAAAATTATAATAAAGAATATTGTCTAAATATTTATCACTATTTATAAATTATGTACTACACATCTTTATATCAGAAAAAATTATACATGTGCACGAGTACATACATTACCCCTGCCCCCAGTCAGTTTTTAAGCATTCAGCACACCACACTTTAGAGGCATGGAATTGTCTGATACCTGTGCGGTTCTGGCTTCGGGCTGTCTTACCTGAATGGTGCTGCATGGAGGCTGCCTGCCTGCAACAGGACCAAGATGCTGAGAGCCAGGAAGGGGGAGAACTTCTGGAAGCCCATGACACCTCTCTGCAAGGGAAGAATGAGGTAAACTACCTGTGCCAGTTCAAAGTTCTAGGAGCCCACAAACCTTGGCTCCTATCCTGCTTTCTGTCTTGCTTCTAACGCCCTGACTTTCTGGCTTCAGACTGGTCATTATATTTCTCTTCTTCTTTGTTTCCTCATCAGCACAGTGGACTCTTCCTGGAAGGTTCAGCAGGCCTCTAGCATGCACAGTTTGACAAAGCTGGAGAAGCAATCCTAGCGGGAGAGCTGAGTAGGGGAGGCCTCAGTCCTACCCTTCTCCCCAAAGCTGCACACATGCATATAAACCTGATAGCTAGGTCTCTGCGGAGGACATGCTCCCAGGCCCCTGTCACAGAAGCTGCTCCCATAAGGAAACCCAGAGCTGTCCTCCTCTTGTGGGGCTTTTGCATACACCGTGGTGGGGGCGGGGTGGGGGAGGGGAGAGATCTGTCCGGAGGGATTGTCTCTATGATTGGAATCTGAGAAATAAAATAATCAATTTTAGTCCTCAGCCGCTCCAGCGCTGACACCTCAGTCTCCTGCAGGAACGAAATTTTACTCTTAAATTGGGACCCAAGACTTTCTGTCTTTGCTCCCTGAACCTGTGACTGGGGCTTGCAGTTTAGGGCTGCTTGTCCCTCAGTCGTGGGGCCTGTCTGCCACCCATCCACTCTGTTCCAGGTTCTGAACCAATTTCCCTGGGACTGCTAGGCGCAAGACGCCATCCCTGATCGCACCGTCTGCGGAAAGTTACTCTTGCCTCAGTCTCTGTGCGCGGTCCCTGGGGAGCCTGAGTGTCCCGAGACTGGCCCAAGCCTGTGTGCAGAGAGAATAAGACTGGAGTCCGCAGCCGAGCAGGAAGAGCGAGCCTGGGAACTGAGACTGTCTGATCCAACCTAGGGCAGGAGCCGGTATAAATCGCCGACTAACAGAAGCTATCTGATGAAGAGACTAATGGAGAGAGAGGGAGAGGAGGAAAGGGGGAGAGAAACTGACTAATGGAGGGAGAGGGAGAGGGAGAGAGAGACATACCTGAGCCAGAATCTCGGGACTCGCCTGGCAGAAGGTGGCTTGGATCAGAGGCGGTGGCAGCGGCGGCGGCAGCGTACAGCCAGAGCCCTGCGGAAGCGGCGGCGACACTTGGGCTGGGTAGCGTCTCTGATGCCTCCCAGCGCCAGCGACTGCTCTTATTCCCGCCGTTGTGGGTCGGAAAAGTTCAGCCAGTGCACAGCAACCAATGGGCGGAGGGGTCCTTCGCCCCAGCTGGGTTGCGTCACCCTCATGCTTCCAGAACCTGGAGGATCCAGCAGGACGGTCCCACTTGTATTTGCATTGAAGTCATTGATGGAAATGGGCGGGGGGATGGTGGGGCACCAAAAGAAACGCCCTTAAAGTGAGCGGGAATTTGAGGGCAGTTTGACGTCATGGTGAATTTCACCTCTCAGTCCGGCCTGGTTTTGAACCCGCACCCCACTCCACCCCTGGTTTCGGGATTTGGCGGAAAGGGTCCAGGACTGTAGGGACTCTTCCAACTCTGACCCCAGACCCCTGCCCAAGTGAGATTTTAAAGGCTAATGCCCCTAAGGGTGGATTCTGGGCCCAAGAAGGCTGACTCCAGTAGCTAGTATTACCCACAGAGGGCCAGGGCTCGTGGGAAACAAGAGAGGGAGCTGGGAGCAAGAATTTTGTTAGGCAGGAGTTCAATTACAGTTGACCCAGTTCCGAGTTGTGTGATCATGGGCAAGTAACTTCCCAGAGCTTCAATATACTCATCTTTGAAATGGGGACCACAGTCTTATCTTGAAAGAATGTTGTGAGAAATAGCCCAGTGCCTGGGCTCCAGATAGGCAGGGATCTAAAAGAGTTTCCTGGTCCGCATGGGGGATTCCGTCAGATCTCCATGGATACCTTCAGAATCCCCATCTCCCCGGACTGTCCTGGGGTACTCTTCAGATCCATTACATGTGTGAGGAGGGGGCCGATGACCTGCTGGGCCTGAGGGGTGAGTTGCAAGGTACAGATGTGGAAGCCTCCATCCAGGCCTCTGGCCCTCTCCCTTCCTACCCTGCCATCCATCACCTGCCTGAGCCGTTTGCACAGCTGCCCCTTCGTTTCCGGCTGCTGTTTGCCAAGACTTCCCAGACACATTCTCTTCCGGTCCCGCACCCCCACCCCCACACTTCAGTCCTCTCCTAAAGAGCAGGCAGGCCTGACAGTGCTGTGTGGTCCCTGCCTAGACCGAAGCTCACACTCACTTCCGGTCACACTCATTTACACACACACAAACCCATTACTGTCTCCCAACATGTGCCCACTCTGAATCACAGACACTAAAAAACAGATACTGGCGCAGAAGAGTATCCTGAGGGGTTCACTCAAACGTGTCCCAAGCCTGCCTCCGAGTCTCTCTGGCGGTCGCATCCACACGCCCGCACGACGATGACCTGCTTGCATCAAACCTGCACACATCACAAACAGGCCCCCTCCATCACACCCAATTACACGTGACCTCGACAACTCTCACATCCCGCAGAACCGGGTTTCAATTTCACTGTGCCTGAGCATTCAGCTCCAGGCGCGCCCAGAACAGTAGAGGTCGGGACTAAGGTACTTGCCGCCCACAGCGTCCAGAGTGGCGATCAATAAGCTTTTCAGCGTCCCCACCACCTCCCGGTGTGAGCGCGCAGCGCGCGATCTGCAGCAGCCGGTCCGGGCGCTGCCTGTGCGGTGAGCGCAGCAGCAGCATCCCGGGGCTGTTGGGAGAGGCAGGGACTCTGACTTGAGGTTCTTTGAGGCGGAGCAGAAATTAGCCCCAAGGTGTGCCGTCCGTGGCGCGAGTCACGGACCTCCAGGTACTCTGGGGTCGTGTTAGCACCCTTGTCCTCAGTCCCCAGAAGCGTCTACATTTCTTAGGATAACACCCCTGCCCCGCGCTGCATCTCTTCCCCCTCGGGGATTGGTGGACTCCGTGCTCAAGGGGGCAGCGGGAACGCCTGACTTCCGAGATGCCCTTAATTGACTCTCTTCCTTCTTAACTACAGCGAGGGAATAACAACTCGGGGCTGGGGACTAGGTATCTGAGACTAGGTATCGCTCTCCGCAGGGCCCGCCGGTAGGGCGGTCACAGGACCCGGGATTGGAACTGGACCGGGAGGACAACGGCGCGCGTCAGGCGCAGAGAGTGGAACAGGCAAGTTTCGCGCGGAGCCGGACTTGGATGGCGGATCGTGGGCACAATGAGCCGCGGATCCTGAAGGAAGACAACCCCTGCTGAGACCCTGTCCCGAGCCTTGGAGCTTTTCAGCAGTTTAGACTCCGATCGCGGCCTGGGTTTTCGGTGCAGAGCTGCTTAAAGAGTTGCGAAGGCCGCAGTGCGGGCACTAAGTGGAGCGTAGTGTTTGCGCCTCTGCCACCTGGGCAGTAGCAGAAGAGCATTTGCACTCAGCTACCACATACTTCAGCGGAAATGACTTTTTCCAAGACTAGAGGTTTCTAACATAAGAACCTCTTGAAACCGTTTGTAAGTGTGTCTGTGATGTATGTTTTCCTAAAGAGAGAGCTCATAGCTTTCGCCCGTGCCACAGTGACCACAAAATGAAAGACTGTAGAAGCAGATTTTGTGGCCATGTCACTTTGCGGGGTCGGAATTCTACTCCTGACTGTCGGGTGTGTCTTCAGCCTTCAGAATCCACACGCACTCCGCACTATCAAATCTTTGGCGGCTACAAATCAAAGAAAGGTTGGTGCTGTGGAGCGCTAACCAGAGCCTGCGTCCAGAGGGCGCTAGTGTAGCCGCGAGCAGTTTCAAGGCAGACTTTAAAAGTCCGTCTCTTTAGGACAGAAGGGGTGGTCATTAACTCACCTCTCAAACACTCCTTGAGTTTGTAGTAAGTGCCTGGCGCCTTGCTGGGGGCTGAAAGTTTTTTTCGTTTTTGTTTTAAAGTCATTTTCTCCAGCAATTAGCACCATGCCAGGCACCCTAGTAGATGATCCGCCAAAGTTAAATGAATGAAAATTCATTCTGGCAAATTCACCAGTTTCATAAGGTAGCTCGCAGAAAATTCGGACCTGGTTGGAGCGGCATTTCGCTTTGCTTTCCGAAATTCACAAACTTTTCAGCCAGACTCCTCCCATTTTATTTGTCACAGCAAGTCGGTTCCCAGGCAGAAGTTTTAGGAATGAGGCAGGGAAATAAGGATTTCGTCTAGGGTTCTCTCTAAAGACTGAGATCTTCTGGTGCGAAATGCGAAGTCATTCTCTGAGCCCATCCCTGATTTACTGAGCGAGCCGAAGGAAGCTTAGAGCTTCCCGTGCTCGGATCGCATAGATTTCATCACGCTATTCCTGGAACTTCTCTGAGTTTCAGTACTAAACGGAGCATGGTCTAAAGAAAGTTGGTAAGGAAAATGCTGATTTTAAGAAAATAGTCGCTTGACTATTTGACCCTTAATTTTTACTGTCTTATTTCCTAACTTTATAATCTGGAAATCAGGGTCAGTTTTGAAACAATCTGATTTTGGAAAACAGTGTTTTTACAACACCCTAATAAAATCTAACTGCAATGTTTGTTCCCATTCGTTTAGACCGGAATCCTGTACCCTTTGCTCTAGAAATAAAAATAAAGATGCAATCTGGTTGAAAATTCTTATGTGAATTTCCATGTGATTAAAAAAGTCACACCTAAAGGCTTGAGTTCAGAACTCAGGTTAAATTTATTGCTGCTCTACAATTTCTTCATAATATAGACTCAACCACAAAATCTCAGCAGTAGCAACAGCACCACCAGCAACAGTAATACAACAGCCAACAACACACACATTTTCTTCAGCCTGGCAGAAACGTGGAGCTATCAAATTAACTGGAAAATCCCAACTGAAAATCGATTGTACTGTTTAAAGGAGGGCAGACATCAAAGCTTTCCATCATCCTATTTACTGAAGAACATGCCAAGAGAAGTACTTGCTTCTGAATCATTTTCCTAAGACACTTTTAGAGTGCAGTAAAGCTGCTTCTGGGGGAGGGGGTACAGAAATGACTGTCAAAGAGACAGCAAGATTCACAAGAACCAAGATACAGAAACAGCCTAAGTGTCCATTGATGTTTGAATTCTTAAAGAAAATGTGGTGTGTGTTTATCACACACACACACAATGGAATATCAGTTAGCAATATTATTCAGAAGAAGGAAATATTGTCATTTGTGTCAATATGGCTGAACCTGAGGGATATTATGCCACACCAAATAAGTGAGGCACAGAAAGACACATAATACATGATCTCACTTATATGTAGAATCTCAAAAAACAAGTTGAATTCAGTATCAAAGGGTAGAATGGTGATTATTTGGGGCTGCAGTTGGGGGTAAAAGAGAGAAATTAGTTAAAGGATACAACCTTTCAGTTATAAGGTGAGTAAGTCCTGGAGACCTAATATACAGGCTGGTGACTACAGTTAACATATGCTTGAAATTTGCTAAAAGAGTAGATCTCAGGAGCTCTAAGCACACACACACACACACACACATACATGCACACACACAGGAAACTGTGAGGTAATATGTTCATTAACTTGATTGTTGCAATCATTTCATAAAGTATACAAGTATTAAAATATCATATTTTATACCTTAAAAATAAAAACCTTTAATATGGAAATAAAAGTGAAAAAAAAAAGAGAGTGGGAGACAGCTGAAATTCCCCAGTGGGAATTTTGCTGAAGGCTTTACAAGAGGTGCCTCTGTGTAAACACTGGAGAGGATATCAATGTTTTATTAATAACCTAGATATAGAATTATCTCAAAGATGTTGCATGTGCAGTCAGTATGAAAAGTCACATAAATCATATTAAATTGAAACAAAGAAAACATATTATAAATATTGTAACTACCATCAACTAAGTTCCATCCATGTGCCAGGCACTGTGTATATATTATCTTTCTTATTAAACTGTTTAATAAGATAGATATTTTTATCTTCGTTGTATATGCAAGGGAATAGTAAGAGTATTTGGCTTGAATTAATTATATTTTCCAGTCTCCTTTTGAGGACCTGAAACATAGCTTATCTGTCTGCCATGTCAGTTAAGAGGTGTGGT